GTGAAGAACGGTGTGCACGTTACGCGGTCAGATGTGTGCCCCAGGGCTAAGTCCTCGGCGTGTGATCACGAGCCTGAACACGCAGTGTGGTTACCTATCGCAAACCTCCCTCTCGAGGTGGCACTCTTCTGCACTCCCAGGAGCAGCTCACGCGCTTCTTGACAGTGGTGTCGAGCTCTTGGAGTGTTTTCATGCTGATACGGAGGATATTTTATCATTAAAAAAAAAAATTCAGAGGGCATGTGAGCTTGCAGGGCAGATAAAGAGAATGTAAGAAGGAGAAAGAGGGCCAGCAGGTGGCATGGTAGTTGGGGCACTGGATGCTCTCGCATGGTCAACTACGGTTTGAATCCTGGACCTGGTGGTTTGCTTTTTCACTTTCCTTTTCTGTCTGTCTGTCTCTGGTCAAATGAAAATAAATGAATTAATAGATACAATAAATACCTCCTTCTTTGAAAAAATGAATGAAAGAAATAAAGAGAAAGAAAACACACCCATGGGAGATGGTCATACCACAATCTCTTCACCATTTCTCCCTCCTTTCGAGATTTTGGGCATGCACACACACACGCCTGGATGCCTGGTCTGGACTCAAACCGAAAAGTCAATCACGTGGGATCCTGCTGACTTCACCACCACACCACTAACTCGCCCATGGCCTAATTTTAACTTGTATTTCTCCCATGAGGAAAGCTGAATATATTTTCATATACTTGAGGGCCATTTTTACAATTCTTTTTACTTGTCTGTTCATGTCTTTTGGCCCACTTATCTATATTCTTTTTAAAAAATTTTTTATAATTATTTAATTTTATTTAGTCATTCGTTTTTGTTTGTTTGTTTAATTTGATGAGAGAGACAGAGAGGGAAAGTGAGAAAGTGAGCCCCAGTCCTGGGACTCAAACTACGGTTGGCCACATGGGAGTGTCCAGCACCTTAACCACAACGCCACCTGCTGGTCCTCTTATCTATATTCTTTTTTTTTCCCAGAGGTTTTTGCTATAGGGCGCGTGCACTCGCCAGAAAGACAGAGAGAGACAAAGAGACAGAAAGCGAGAAATCACCCCCCAGGGGGGATGGTCACGCTGCAATCCCTTCTCCTCCATTCTCCTCTCGGGATCTTGGGCACGCACGCACACGCACCCGGCGTGAGTTTAAGCCACCAGGTCCGGGACTCGAACCGCAATCGATTACATGGGAGTCCAGCGACATAGCCATTACAGTAACAGCTGGTCCCCAAATACTTCAAATTACTAACCAATCTTCTTCATTCATGATAGTTGAAATATAATAAAATGCAACAAGTTATTTCAACCTGAATGCAGAGAATAAATACTTTATTAACTGATTACAGTTGAAAGTCACAAACAAAAAGGGGGAATATTAAGGCAGAGCCATATATATATATATGTGGAGACAAATCCGAAGACCGCTACCTCTGGACATGTTAGTGACCTCTGCGTTTTTCTCTTACATATTTAGGCAGTGTGCTTCCTTTCTTCTCGGTTAAACGCCGTGGCCAGTATTCCTAAGTCGTTTTGATGACAATGCACAGGATCACTGATTGAGACGGTGACTGGTGTATCAGATGCGATGTGACAGTCCGCTCAGCACATTCCGTGTGTGGTGGGACACTTGTGTTTGTGTGCAAAATCTGACAATTGATTGTTTTTCTCTTTTTCAGTAAAACTAACCATTTCTTTTCCTAATGATTTTCCTAGTCTTAACTAAAATAAGGTTGGTCTTCCAAGTCAGTCAAATGCCCAAACTGCATATTTCCTGCCCTTCCCTAACCCCCCCCTGTATGTTTTAAGCAGCCTTTAGAGTATGATCTATGGTTGTATTTTGAATTTATTAATTTTGAGATTTTCACAACTCAAAATTACTTCCTTATGCAAAATGGCAATGCAGTAACAATCCTACGTAAAGTAGAATAATTTTTCTTCTGTGTAGCTCCTTTTATAAAAATGGGTAACCAAAAAAAAAAAAAAGAGAGAGAGAAAGAGAGACATCAATTTAGTCCGCCTGAAAAAGCACTGCAGCTTCCTAACTCCATTTCTGAAGGAAAAGGCAGAGGCAAGTGCACATTATCCCAGAAAACTGAATAAATGGCTTTATTTGGTATCTTCAAGAAGCTTCTCCTTCCGCAGGAGATGCAGGTGTGGCAGGAGAGACTGTCACTGGCTTGCGTGTGATTCTGTCCAGTTCCGCGTGAACGTCTGATATGACAGGCTTCTGGCCTAGAAAGAAGGAAAAGCAAAGAAGACTCAGATACAACTTCTCACCCGTCTCTTCATTTAAAAAGTGTCAGTGCGCTCATTAACCTTGTCTCGCATACTAAGGGTTACTAACATCCTTCATGTAAAAACAAGCTCATTTTAAATGGCAGAGACTGTCATCAAAAGGAGGGAAAACTTCTACCTAATGTTTCATTTCATAAAGGTATTTTCTTTTAAAGGCACAGGACAGGACAATAATAAGAACAATAGAAAACAGCAACAAAATTGTGGAATCTGGAAAGAGGAATGAGCGGGAAGGCAAGGCGGAAAATCAATGTTGGGGAGGACATGGAGAAACTGGAACCCTCACACCTGCTGCTGGGACGCAGAATGGTGCGGTGCTTTAGAGAACACGTGGGCGGTTCTTCAAAGGCTCAAACACAGAGTCAACACAGGACGCTGCAATGCGTCTCCTAGGATTTACCCCAGAGAATGAAAAACTTATGTCCACATAAAAATGAATGTTCACAGCAGCCACTGAGTCATAAAAGCTAAAAAGCAGAAACAACCGGAACGTCTGGCAACCCACGAATGAGCAGGTCAATGTGGTATGTCCGCAGCATGGAACACACTCAGCAATAAAGGGAAAGAAAGTCCCGGTACATGTTACTGTACCATGTACGTGGGTGCACCTTGAACACATCATGTTAAAGAAGACACGTATCGCAGGAGTCCACATGAAATGTCCTGACAGGCAAACCCAGAGACAGAAAACACAGCCGTGGTTGCCCAGGACCAGGGAGCTAGGAATGGGATGTGTCAAGGTTTCTTTCCGGGGAGATGAAAATGTTCTAGAATTAGAACAAGGTGATGGTTTGTTTGCACAACTCTGTAAAGATACTAAAACCACTGAACTGGACACTTCAAGTAAGTTCCCTGCATGCTTAATTCTATGCCAATAACGCTCTTGTCTTAAGTGACTTGCCCCAGGGGACTCTACCTGGCTTTTTGGCGCAGGGTGGCAAACCACTGCTTGCACCGCCAGCCCCGCCTCCAGGGCTCCCAGCACCAACACCTGGGCCTCCTGGAGAGCCTGTCTTTTTACTCAACAAACTATTGAAGAAATTTGCCAGGACGCCTTCGCTTGTAGCTCCAGCTATAAAAAAACAACAGATACAGCTTTTTACTCAAAACGTTCATTTTTCCATTAGTTATCATCTCATGAATCAATCATAGAAATCAAATGACAGACTTCAAATGGAAGTCCAAACTCAAGTTCAATTTGCCGTTTGGAGGTCGAGTCACTGCCACGACCTACTCAGGTATAAAACAGAACAAGTGAACTTTAGTAAGTGTAATGTAAGATAACCACTGAAAGATGAGAACGCTATTTTTAAAAGGCCAAGAGCATTTTAAACAAACAGATGTCAGATGCTAATACACAGCTCCCTTTTGAAAGAGCTTCTTCAAAAATAAAACTATTGAGACATATTTGCCTCAAGTATTACAAAAAGTTACTTCATTCTATTCGGAAATCAACAGAAGTTCCAAGGGATAAAGTTCTCATTAGTATTTAGGGAATGCTAATTAAGTTGTGGAAAAGTGTACTATTCAATGCTGATGACAAGTAAAGGTGAAAGATCGACTGGAAAGACATTATTAAAAAACGTAAAAATGGAAACCAGCAGATGGCGTAATGGTTACATCACTGGACGGCCACACAGTCAACTGCAGTTCAAGTACTGGACCGGGAGGTTTTAAACTCAGGCCGGGAGTGCGTGCATGTGCGCCCAAAATCCTGAGAGGAGAATGGAGGAGAAGGGATTGCACCATCGCTTCCTGTCCCTCTCTCTCTCCAGTAAGCGCACACACCATAGCAAAACCCTCTTAAAAATAAGGAAATAAAAATGGGGGCCAGCAGGTAGCTTAGTGGTTAAGGTGCTGGACTCACATGACCTGATCACGTGTCGAGTCCCGGACCTGGAGGCTTGAAAATCATGCTAGGCACATGAGCATGCATGCCTACAATCCTGAGAGGAGAATGGAGAAGGGACTGTGGTGTGACCATCCCTACCCCTCCTGGAGCTGATTCCTCACTTTCCCTCTCTTTCTGGCTCTCTCAGGCAAGTGGCCATGCCCTATGGCAAACAGCTAACAAATTCATTCATTCATTCATTAAAAAGTACAAACTCTTTGACCTCTACTCATCCTATTTAAGGCAATAATTCCTACAGTAATAACTATTGCACAGTTTTTGTTAACTGAAGATGACCTATAGTACAGAGCTATAGGTTATAGTATAAATAAGAATTTGTGCAATGATCTACCATAGGGAATGACTAAATGTAGTAAAATTTCATCATGGAAATGATACATTAAGAATACACTATAAAACGTGTATTCTAAACGTGAAAAACTGTAATATGATTAACTATATCTACAGAGACAAAGCTTAGAAGGTACTGCGTAAAAGAAAATAAGAATTATGGTGAAAGGTGGGATAAGGTAGATTTCTTTCCACTGTAAAATGCATCGTGCTGTTTTCTCCGAGAGAGAGACATGCCTTTCATGTTTGGATCAATTTTTTTTGAGCCAGCAGGGATGGGTGACACACTGGCGACATTGGACGACACAGATCTGTTTGGTGTTCGAGGAGAGCCTCCTGGTACTCTTGGTGAGGCATCCTACGGAAGGACAGGAAAACGACAATGAGAAAAACCGTCAGCTCTGCAAAAGTTGTTCATATAAAATGAAATCACCTTGCCACTAACCCAGTTTTACTGATACTTTAAAAATTCAACCCACTGACAAAAACTTTTAGTGATCCTGTCCTCATTAGAACACCAGAGGCCCCTCGCATTTTAGAGGACGAATTTTTCCTTCATTGGAAAAGAAAGACTGTTCTGAGAATGTGGGTGTGAGCTTTGGAGTGAGACGTGGATCCCAGTCCCACCTGCTGCATCATCTTAGGCAGACCCCGATGCCCTCTAAGGCCCCTGCCTCCCCGTCTGCAACGGGGCTCAGACAGACCTGCGTCCTCGGGCTGCCGAGGGTCTGTAAATCACACACGTGTGCCTCGGTACGGTAACGGACACATGTAACAGATGCTGCAAATGGCAGTACAGCGTCATGACTTAGAGAGCCGGACAAAGGGTGAAGCGTGTTTTAAAATCTCCTAATTCCAGGAGAATCTGAATGCAAGTTTAGCAAAACACACCCACAAGATATGGGCAGGACTAAGAAACACAAACAATATATACCACATTTTAGTGATTTCGTTAAAATCTGTAATACTGACCACAGGCCTTCCAGCTGCAGTTGGCGGCTGCTTTGCTAAGAGAGACTGAAAAACAACAACAACAAAAAGCATCCCTGATTAGACATTTACAGAACGCATTGCTGTATTTTTAAAACTACGTATGTAAGTCCAGTTACCATGAACCACCCGGTCTGCGTCTGATCTAACTGCGTACCTGCAGCTTCATGAGAAACACCTGGTCGTCTTCGGCCATGATCTCCTTTTCGTGTACAAACTGAAATACGCAACACACACCGAGTGAGATTAAGATACTACGCCAACATCATCGTGCTAACACCCTCCAGGACTGACTAATGAAAAAGCAGTTAGGGGAACCAGCAGGTAGTATGGTGGTTAAGGGCGCTGGACTCCCACATGGCCGACCATGGTTTAAGTCCCAGACTGGTAGCTCGCTTCTCACTTTCTCTTTCTCTCTGTCCCTCTCTGGTCAAATTAAAATAAAGTTAAATAAAATAATTCTTTTTTTAAAAAAAGCAGTTTGGGAATTCACACATCACCACGCTCCATTTGTATGTACCTGAATGCGCTGCCTGCCCCAGCGCCCCCCGCAGAGTCGCCTGGTCATGTCACACATGCGAACGTGTCCGAGTGCTGCTCCATACGGCTGTCACTGGCCATCAGTGTTACCGAGCCCTTGCCACGAGGCCAGGGTGACGAGGAACGGGCTTTTTAGTCACATTTCACTTTACAAGACATTTAAAAGCCGTGTAGGACTAGTGGGTGGTGTACTGGACAGTGTAACCTGAGACCCCCAAGCTCATCATTCACAACTGCCAGGCTTGCTCAGCAGCTGGGTGTCTGAAAGAGGCCAGCGGGAGCAGCAGGTGGCGTGGTGGTTACGGTGCTGGACTCCCACAGGGCCGGCTGCGATTCAAATCCCAGACCTGGTGGCTGGTTTCTCACTTTCTCTCCCTCTCCCTCTGTCCGCCTCTGGTGAATACACGTGCCCTATGGCAAATTTAAATAATAATAATTAAATAATTCTTAATAAATAAAAAGGCCAGTAATATCCCAGTTGAGTGAAATGCAATTTGTCCTTGGTTTCCCTGAGATAAAACATAATGCTTCTCTCAGAATAATAATTAGGAAAGGGAGCTGCAAAAGAATCCTGCTTAGGGGCCAGCAGATGGCATGGTGGCTAGGGCACTGGACTCCCACATGGTCAACCACAGTTCAAGCCTTAGACCCGGCAGCTTGAAAATTATGTCAGGTGTGTGTGTGTGTGTGTGTGTGTGTGTGTGTGTGTGTGTGTATGCCCAAAATCCCGGGGACAAAATGAGAAGGGATTACTGCATGGCCATCCCACCCGGGGAATTAATTTCTCACTTTCCCTCTTCGTCTCTTTCTAGCTGGTGAACATGCCCTATGGCAAAAGCCTTAAAAAAAAAAAAAATCCAGGACCAGCAGTTGGCATGACTATGTCACTGGACTCCCATGTAGTCGGCCGCGGTTCAAGTCCCGGATCCGGTGGCTTAATGTCATGCCACATGCATGTGCATGCATGCCCAAGATCCTGAGAGGAGAATGGTGGAGAAGTGATTGCAGCATGGCCATCCCCTCTGGGGGGGGGGGTGATTTCTTGCTTTCTGTCTCTTTGTCTCTCTCTCTCTCTTTCTGGTGAGCACATGCGACCTATAGCAAAAGCCTCTCAAAAAAAAAAAAAAAAAATCCCTGCTTCTACTCTCACTACACACACTGACCCAGCCTTTCTTTTCCAGACCAGAGTGACCCTTTTAAAAGCTTAAGTCAGATGACGTCACTCCTTTGCCTTAAATGCCGATTTACACAGGATGAAATCCAAAGTCCTACCGCAGCCTGATCGTAAGGCCCACAGGATCTTAACCCACTCTGCCTCTCCTCTCCTGCCCCTGGTCTTCCTCGCAGCTCCGCCTTCCTGTCAGTCCTCCCCTGCACTCCTGCCTCAGGGCGTGTGCGTGTGCGTGTGTGTGTGTGTGTGTGTGTGTGTGTGTGTGCGGGCTTTCAGCTCCTCCAGCTGTCAGCCTTGTCAGCCTCGCCTGGCTTTACGGAGACCTTCTCTGACATTCCCAAACCAGCACCTCTGCCCACTCCCTGCCCCCCAGAGCACTTGCCGCACTCGGCAGACACGGTCTAAGCTATGCACGGCCCTCGCGCCCCTCCCTCCCAGTCAGCACGAATGCCTGAGTGTTTGCTTGGTGCTCAGTAACTATCTGTGGAGAAAAAGACACCTTATCGGATACTCTGTCCTTTTTTTTTTTCCTATTTTGTCTTTTGATCAGTACATTTCTTTTGATAGACATCCAAACCAAATGGCATGCCAACTGATTTGTTTTTGACCTTACTTCCCTTTTATTTAAAATAATTCTTTTAGGTGGCATGGTGATTAAGGCGCTGGACTCCCACACGGTAGCATGGCTGATCATGGTTTGAGTCCCAGACCTGGCAGCTTGCCTTCTCACTCTCCCTCTCTTTCTGTCTCTCTCTGATCAAATTGAAAAACACTAATAAATAAATAAATAAATTTTTATTTAGTATTATTTTAATTTGACCAGAGACAGAGAAAAGGTGAGGAAGCAAGCTGCCAGGTCCAAGACTTGAACTGTGGTCAGCCACACACGAGTCCAGCATCTTTAACCACCATGCCACCTGCTGGCCCTGATCTTAACTTCTCTATTTTTAATAACCCACAAAGATGCTCTATATTGTGAATGTCTGGACTCTTAAGCATCATAATATATGTGAAATAAATTTTTTTTTTACTAAAATATGTATCTAAATTAAAAGTAAGAAGTATTACATGCGAACATTACTTTTTTTTATTTGCCAGAGGATACCTGTGCTTGGCAGCCAGACAGAGGAGAGGAGAGGAAGAAGGCAACCAATGGTGTGGTTTCAGCACATCCTTTTCCACGCCTCTATCCCGTCAGGACCTTGGCCAGACGTCTACACGTGCCTGGCTTATCTTCCAAGCTGCTGGGGCTGGGACTCAAACCTTGGTTGGCCACGTGGGATCCACTTCTCTTAACCACTAGACTACAGGGCCAGCTCTGCAGTCTAAAATAGCTGTGGGCAATGTGGTAATGACTGTGGAGACGATCTGAGCTCTGCCCAAACCCACACATGGGAGACAATTTCCTAGCAGTCTGCCTGGTTTTTGGCTGGGCTCTAAGCTGGAACGTTCACAGCATCTACCTATCTAATGAAGATATTCACACCCGCTCCTGTTGAGCCATGGTTTCCTAAGCACTCTCCTTAGAATATGGATTCTGCACTAATCCTGCTAATATAACCAGGCCAAGGGTTAATATTTATTTTTTAATTATTTATTGAACTTTATTTATTCATTCGTTCATTCTTAATTTGACACTTGAACCATGGTCAGCCATGTGAGAGCATCCAGCGCCTTAACCACCACGCCACCCGCTGGTCCCTGGGGTTAATATTTATTAACTGAAGAGTTGATTTAAATTTTGCCAAGGCCCAGCAGGTAGTGTGGTAATTAAGGCACAGGATCCCTCATGGCTGACTCTGTGGTTGAAATTCTGTACTCTGTAGCTTGAAAAGCATGCCGGGCATATATGTGTGCATACGTACATGCCCAAAATCCCAAAAGGAAAATGGAGGAGAAGGGACTGTGGCATGGCCACCCCCCAACCAGGGGGGTGATTTCTGACATTCCCTCTCTGTCTCTCTCAGGTGAGCACATGCACCCTATTGCAAAAATCCAAAAACAAAAAAATTTTTGCTACAACAAATCCTCATGTGAACTGTATATTAAAAATACCCAGGGCCAGCCAGTGGCATGCAAGTTAAGGCAGCTGGATCCCACACAGCTGAGTGAATGGCTCAGGTCCTAGACCCAGTGGCTTGAAAACACACTGGGTGGGTGTGTGTCCATGCCCAGAGCCCTGAGGGAAGAATGGAAGAGAAGGGACTGACACAGCCATATTCCCTGGAGGGTGCTTTCTCACTTTCTCTGTCTTTGTGGCGAGGACACATGCCCTACAGCAAACTAAACACAACACAAGAAATATCGAATGTGTGCTCAGAAACCCCACCGACAGAAAAAAGGACAATCTTGGACCAGTACATGGCGTGGTGGTTAGGGTACCAGACACCCACATGGCCAAACATGGTTCGAGTCCTGGACCTGGCACCTTGAAAATCACACCAGGTGTGTGTGCACGTGTGTCCAAAATCCCAGGGGGAATTCTGGTTCAAATTCCTGGCTCAGGAGGAAAATGGAGGAGAAGGGATAGTGGCATGGCTATCCCCTCTAGGGATGATTTCTCATTTCTCTCTCTGTCAAGCGCACATGCCATATAGCAAAAACTTAGAAAAAAGAAAGGAAAGAGTAGGACGGCCTTGCCTTTCTAACTACGATATAAGCAGGGACTCCCCTCAATTTAAAAGCCTCAGTAAGGGGAGCTGGAGGCACGGTGGTCATGAGATGTTCTGAGGTGGGGCCAGCAAGTGGTGTGGTGGTTAAAGGTGCTGGATTCCCACATGGCCAACCATGTGGCCTTAAACGGCCAACCGTGTAAGTCCTGGACCTGGTGGCTTACTTTCTTGCTTTCCCTTTCTCTCTCTCTGTCCGGTTAGATTAAAAAAATAATAATAACAAATGGAATTAAATAATTCTTTTAAAAGAAAGAAAGAAAGAAAGAAAGAAAGAAAGAAAGAAAGAAAGAAAGAAAGAAAGAAAGGAAGAAAGAAAGAAAAAGAAAGGTTCCAAGATACTGAACCCACAGGGAGGCCCTAGGTCTGTGCTCCAAGGTCTCCCTGTGTACATGCGTGCAGGACCTTGATCCAGGCTGGCTGGTGTGGGGCGGGTCATGGCAGGAAGGCCTTTCGGGAAGCTATGTCTCTTTCTCGCTGAAGACAACATATACATATAAATAAATAACTTCCAAAGCCTGAACATTGAGAGTATTTATTAAAACTATTACCTTTCGAACAGGTGGTTTAGTTATGATGTCTTCAAAATTATCTTCTGCTTTCAATGTTTGAAAATTTTCATGTAATATTCCTATTTTCTTATCATTATCCCATCCTGCTGGACTGGAAAGAAATTAATGTAAGTCTCAAGTATACATGGTCCTTATTCTTTCAGTCAACATGTACAGGGAATATTTTTATGAAGTCCATTTGCCCAATTTTGGACAACTAATTAGCTTTTGATTATAATATCCAAGTTATACTTAATTTCTATTTAAAATGATTATCAGTATTCCTGATCTTAAAATGTCATTAATTTTTTCTTGGTGGGGGAGATACAATAATTATTACTTCCCAACTTGATTCAGGTAACTTTTTAACAGCATTGTCTAGCTTATATATTGGGTCATTTTTGTATCATAACCAATTAAAGAATATCAAGAACAATATACTGATACCTGCACCTAACAGACATGTAGTTATAGCAGCAAAGGCCTTTCAAACAGGGCCCGGGCCAGCAGGAAATCTAAAGAGCAATGAGAAGTAGGGGACCAGCAGGTAGCATGGTGGTTTAAGGATGCTGGACTCCCACATGGTCAACTATGGTTCAAGTCCTGGACCTGGTGGTTTGCTTTCTCACTTTCTCTCTTGCTCCGTCCCTCTTCGGTCAAATTAAAATAAATAAATAAAGTTAAATAATTATTTTAAAAAAGAGCAAGGAGAAGAGGATGACGGTCTGACACAAACAGACCAACCCAAGAGCAATCTGGACTAATCCCAGAAGGCCTACTGATTTCCCTCAAAACTGAAAACGACTGGCCATTAGAGGGTAGCAACCACACAAGATAAAACACTGTATAAGAGTATACTTACATAAATACTGCATCCTTTTCCACAACGACAGCAGGGATCTTATAGGGGAATCCATATAATTTCTGTACGATGTATTTATATACTAAATCTATATTTTTGTTTTCTTTTACTGAAGTGTAAATAAGGGCTGCACCATCTGAATAATATATTGTTAAAGAAAAGGTATAAAATTCTGTGCTTCCAGCTTAGTATTTGCATCTATTTGCATATTAGTTTCCAAAATAATTTCCAAAGGTATCTTAAATGATAATGAAGAATTCTGAAAGTATGAAATACCCGTACATGAGTTCAAAGTGCAAATAAAATCATGTAACCCAATCTATTTAACTCGAAGGTGGAAGACTCACTAAGCCAGGAAAAAGGTCAAAGTTAGTAATACTAGCACCATTACTATCTCGATTTTTTTTTTTTTTTTGAGAGGTTTTCGCTTTAGGGCACGTACGGCGCAAGAAAGACAGAGACAGAAAGACAAGAAGCGAGAAATCACCCCTCAGGGGGGATGGCCACGCCGCAATCCCTTCTCCTCCACTCCATTCTCTCAGGGTCTTGGGCACGCATGCACTTGTGCCTGACATGAGTTTAAGCCACCGGGTCCAGGACTTGAACCATGGTCGACTACATGGGAATCCAGTGATATAGCCATTACCCTAACTGCTGGTCAAGAGATTTCTTTTTTTAAAAAAATGTTTTATTTTATTTCACTTTATTTATTTATTTTAATTTGATCAGAGAGTGATGGAGTCAAAGAAGAGAGAGAGGGAAAGTGAGAAAGCAAGTTGCCAGGTCCAGGACTCAAACCGCGGCTGGGCATGTGGAGTCCAGCACCCTTAACCACCATGCCACTTGCCAGATACTGACAACTTGAGATTTCTGTAACTGATACATTTGTATTATAATTTAAATTTTAAAATCTTTAAATAAATACTATTTTGAACTGTCACATTCACTCACTAATGCATACACTTCACCATCCCAAAGAGACTTCTTATATTTTATATTCTTTTTTTTTTTTTAATTTGACTGTATTTATTTATTTATTTTTCATTTGACCAGTGAGGGACAGAATGAGAAAGAGAGAGAGAGAGAGAGGGAAAGTGAGAAAGTAAGCCACCAGGTCCAGGACTTGAACTGCAGTTGGCCACATGGGTGTCCAGCGCTCTTAACCACCAGCCACCCACTGGCCCTATATTTTGTATTTTTTTGAAATCAATTGGGTCTAATTATTTTAGTGAACAACTTCCTTCCTGATTGATTTCTGTACTTACACCTTTAATTATAGCATTAAATGTTTAGACTTCTCAAATTTTCTAATTTCAAAGACAACATAAAAATGCTGCAGACATTTAACTTCAATTACTCTAACTTTTTGTGTTCTGTTTAAAGATACTACATACATGGGGCTGGCAGGTGGCATGGTGGGTGGTTAATGCGCTGGACTCCCACATGGCTGACCATGGTTCAAGTCTTGGACCTGGTGGCTTATTTTCTCACTTTCCCTCTTTCTCTCTCTCTGGTCAAATTAAAATAATAATAATAAATAAATAAAGTTGAACGGATAATTCTTAAAAAAAAAAAAAAAAAAAAAAACTACATACACAAGTGCCTTTTAACTCAACACACATTGACCGTTAGGCGACAAGAGAGGAGAAAGGGCTAGGAAGAAGGGGAAGGACTGAAGGCAAGGGAGAACGAGAAAGCACCAGTATTGAGTGGTTTTACTCAGCCAGTCTTCCTATACGTGACCTTAAACGCCCATTAATAAGAACGATGTGTAAGTGTAAGTCGCAGACACTGTAAACATGGACGTGTTACTCACTACTACCCACTCAGCATCATTTCATCACTCTTCATTACCCAGAAGCTTTGGGTGGGGAACGAAATCATAAAACATCTAAGAGAGAAGCTCTCTTCATTGTACTCAAGCTGTGATGACGTTTTCGATGGTAAATTCTCTTAAAAGCATTTCCGGGCCAGCAGGTAGCATCGAGGATAAGATGTGCAGTTCGAGTCTTGGATCTGGCTTAAAAATCATGCCAGGTGCATGTGCATCCAAAATCCCAAGAGGAGAATGGAGGTAAAGGGATTGTGGTGTGGCCATCCCTCCTGGGGAGTGATTTCTCACTTTCCCTCTCTCTCTCAATCTCTCCAGGAAGTTTACTATCCTTATAACCAAAAAAAAAAACGATCCACTTACATTTTCTCCTTCTCTCAGCTGTAAATATCAATCACTGGCTGGCCTAATCCTTGCAACCTAGATTAGACAGGAGTCTCAATAGGTTTTCCAACCTTGGGGTCATCAAGGTCGCCCAGGAAGCTTTTTTTTTTTTTTTTTGAGAGGTTTTTGCTATAGGGCGTGTGCACTCGCCAGACAGACAGACAGAGACAGAGAGATAGAAAGCGAGAAATCCCCCCCGCCCCTGGAGGATGGCCATGCTGCAATCCCTTCTCCTCCATTCTCCTCTCGGGACCTTGGGCACGCACGCACACACGCCCCGCGTGAGTTTTAAGCCACTGGGTCTGGGATGTGAACTGTGGTCGACTACGTGGGAGTCCAGTGACATAGCCATTACGCTAACTGCTGGTCCCAGCCAGGAAGCTTTTTAAGTATTTTTTCTCAGTCTCACTGCAATTCCCAAGCCAATGGTCTTATCAGTACAGCCAGATTTTGAAGCCATGGGTTATGCTATAAGTGGAGGAAATAATAACACACTAAACAAATAAAAAACACATAAACCTGAACTGATCTTATCACACCCATCCCCAATTAATAACTAAACAATTGTTTTTAAATCAAGTATGTTCACGACACCAACTCATTGACATTTTCAACATACAATTGATATTATTTAAGTATAGTACTTTAAACACAGCAAAGAAAAAAAATTACATCTCTCTTCCTTTTTTATTGCCAGAGGGCACATGCACTCACTGGAGACAGAGAGAGAGAAAGAGAGAGAGAGAGAGAGGAAGAGAGAGAGAGAGAGAAAGCACCCTCCAACGGGGCAGGGTCACACAGTCCCTTCTCCATTCTCCACCCTTGATGGATTTAGGGCTCATGTGCCAGGTATGTTTTCCAAGCTGCTGGAGCCAGGATCTGAACAGCAGTCACCATGTGGAATCAGGCTCCCTTAACCACCAGACTGCAAGACTAGTCCCAAAGTCATGTATTTCGTTACTTGTTTTTATGTTTCAAAATATCCAGCTATAAATGACTTGAGAAATAAAATTTCCCAGTAGAAAAACATTTATGTAACTTCTTAAGTCCATCAATTTATTTATTTTACTTTAAAAAAACAATAAAAACCAGGACCAGCAGGTGGCATGGTGGTTAAGGCACTGGACTCCCACATGGCCGATTCGGGTTAGAGTCCCAGATCTGGTAGCTTTCTTTCCACTTTCCCTCTTATCTCTCTCTCTCTCTCTGATCAAATTAAAATAAAAGAATGAATAAATAAAATTGAATAAATAATTACAAAAAAAAAAAAAAACAATGAAAAACCAGGACATTGCATTAGTCAGCATATTAAAAGGATACATTGTAAACAAAATTTCCGGATATGTGACTGAATAAAATCAAAATGTTCATCTCTATAGTCATGTTCTTTCTCCAATACGCTAATGGCATCACACTGCGAATTAAAATAATTAAAATATTAACTTAAAGTCATCAAAAGTAATTGTGTAATTTAAATGTCGACCGTTTGATTTTGGCCAGGGAAACATCATAAAGCCACCACTCCTGTGTAG